TATACTATGTATTTTGGGGTTAGGCTGTCCAAATTACACTGTATAATATTTTTTGAATTAATATGTTCTTGGGTTTTTTGAAATATATATATATATATACATGTATTAATTCAACCTTAATCTGAGTTTCTGGACAAGAAAGAGGGTAAGCAGTTGAAATTTCATTCTAAAACCCATTTTTTTATTCTTTCATTGCTTATGATCTGTTAAATTTGTAGTTTTCTTTATTGGTTTTGAATGTTTATCTTAAAACTCAAGTTTCTTGGTTCTTTGCTCTTGGTGTAAATCGAATACATTTGTGGAGTCGTTTTAATATGTTGGATTTTAAATATATTGGATTTTAAACTGTTATACAATTTTTTTCATCGATAGTCTGTAATTGGAACCATAACTCTTATTTATTCAAATTGTATTAATATGTAAAAACCAAGTGTAACCTATATCATCGTCAAATCTTATCTTATAAAACCAGTGGAACTTCAAAATCATTAAAATTCATGACTCCCGCCACATTGCGCGGGTATACAACTAGTATTTTATAACAAAGTAAAAAAACAAAAAGAAGTTTCTTCCACTCACATCTCTATCATCTCTCCTCGTAACTTAATTACCGACACTTCCTCCATTTTGGTAGCGAATAGCGATACACGCAACACGCTTGACGCTTTATGAGTGGTCAATAGACCAACCATGTGGCTTTCATATTTCCAAACATTGTTTTAGTCCAAAATTCTTTTATCTATTGACCTTAAAAATTTATGGTATTAATTGATTAAAACATAATATATATATATATATACACACACACTAAAAGGGTACTCATGCAATATAGAAAAATAAATCTCAATTTTAATGTTTAGCTTTTATTCTTTGTCTCTATCAATATAATACGATTTTATGTGATTTTAAAAAAGTGATAATGTTTTTATTTTTAAATAAAATATAAATTTAAATATATCATAAAAATTTGAAGAAAAAAAATTGATATTAGTATCAAATTAATTATTTAATAATTCTTGTTTTTTTGGTGTAACTTCTTTAATTTATTTTTTTATTATAATTTAATTTAGATTTAATAACAAAATAATTTATTTTTGGTTTAATAATATAATTTTTTATAAAGATAATAATTAAAAATTCTGTTAGAATTTAAGATTATCTTAATTATATTTTAGATTTTTTATATTTAAAATGAATGTTTACATACATACTATATTATAAAGCATTTGACAAAAACAATTAAAAAATATTTTTTATACATGAAGTACTATTTATCAATGCATATTACTTAAAATTCAATATTACAAGTAAATTGTACGTAAATACAACTTATTAAAGCTCCATGCTTGAATTCATGTAACTAATTATGGATAAACATAATCAAATAGAGGATAAACATCTCATTTTAAAATATAAAAAATCTAAAATATAATTAAAATAATTATCAAATTTAAACAAAATAATTAATTATTATTTTTATAAAAAAATATATTATTAAACCAAATATAAATTACTTCATTATTGAATCTAAA